TATTTCCCTGAATGGTTATCTAATTTAAACTTTCACTAGACTAGCACAGGAGTGATCTGGGGCTTTTTTTATTAGAGAATTTTCAACAGTGATCTTAGAGTTGAACCAACATTAGAATCTGAGATTATAATTCAGAACAGTTTTGATAGTTCAGAGAATTGCTTAGTTAGTCTTTCCCCAATTAAAATTCACTTGGTGAAAGTGAGGGCAAAAGAAATAGCTCATATAAAAATTACAAGAGCAGCATGCATTACCTGAAGGAAAATCCGGGGCCCTAGGAATCTGATTAGATTTTTTCCACAGCCCTTTGGAGGGCTTGGCTGTGACAAGGACTGTTCCCAAATCCAAAGACAAAGAAGACCCAAGTTGAACTAATGCTCTGTTTCAAAAAGACTGTAAAAATTTTATATTTTARACTACTAAGAATTTTCAGAGACACTAAATACCTTTTTGGGGAACATTAAATGTTCATTTTAATTATTTACTGAAATTATTTGAGCATAGATTGAATTTTAAAAAGCTTTCTGAAAGTTGCTATTGATCGTTCCTCAATTAAACAGAGAATATGTTTAGGAAGTTGGGGTATTTTCCAGAATAACAATTTTCTTAATTCTCCAGACACAAACTGAGTGTCTAATAATTCAATTTAATTCTGACACTAACTACCTGGAGTTAATGTCAGATTCCACAAGTGTAAGGAATCAGTTCCATAGGACTACCCTCAGTTCAAATGCATATTGCAAATACAGTGTCCTCAGGTTACCTACCCTTAGTTCCAATTGGCTACAAAGTCAGAGATCACAACCTATCAATCAGGTTTGATAATTTGCTAGTAAAACTCATGAAACTCAGAAAAGAGCTCTGTTTACTACCAGCTCACCATAAAGGATGCAACTCAGCAACAGCTAGATGGAAGACTTAAGAGGCCACCCTGGAAGAAGCCTGCACAGAGCTTCCACACTGGGGGTGCACAACCCTCCTAGCACCTTTCTGTGTTTATCAACCTGGAAGCTCTTAGAACTCCATTGTTTAAGGKTTTTTTTGTTTGTTTGTTTTTTGTTTTTTAAATAGAGGTTTCATCATGTAGGCACAATCCATTATTAACTCAGTCTCTAATTTCTCTTCTATCCTGAGAGGTTGAGGGTAGAAAGAGAAGATGAAAATTAAAATTCCAGACTTCTAATAATTATGGTTTGGTAKTTCTGGAAGCCAGCCCCAATTCTGAAGCTGTCTAGGTGCCTATAGGAATTTACCTCATTAGAATAAATGCATATCCCACAACTCAGGAAATTCCAAGGAATTTAGTAGCTTCCTGTTAGAAACTGGGGACAAAGGCCAAATATATATTTCTTATTGCCACAGATGCTCATATTTTCTTCCATGAAATTTTAGGGAAAATAGAATTACTTTATCTTGCAAATGGCACATGGAGGATAGAAACACTATTCTAAAATTTAAAAAGAAATATTTATAAACACACACACACACACACATGCACACATGCACACACTCACACACACACACACACACACATGCACACATGCACACACTCACACACACACACACACACACACACATATCAGGAAGCAATTTAAAAGCCCAGTTCTGTTTGGTTTAGGTGGTAGCTGTATGTGTTTCCAATGTGATTTATATCCTACAGTCCTATGTCAAACATTTCATTAGCAATTGTTCTGTTCATTTGTGATACAATTCTAATTAATTCAAATGAATGACCCTGAGATAGTTACAATCCAGAAGGACTATATAATTTGGTCTTTTTTTTTTCTTTCTGATGACTGATATTCAGCATGGTTTTAAGATTATTAGCAAATTGCAGGCAATGACTTAAAAATCAGAAGATGTAATCAACTTGGTTAAATCAGTTAATTAAATATCTCTTCAAGATGACAGGGAATTGGCTGTTTTTATTACCCAGTGAACTCTTTGTCCTCCTGTGCTAATAAGCTATTTTTCTAGTTTTCCTTTTTAGCCTAGATTCCCACTATTCCTAACTGAATGTGAGATTCTTTTCTAATAGAATAATGTTTTAATAGGTTAGTTTTGTTGGGAGGTCAGTACTGCTATATACACTAGCAGGCTTGCTTCTTGAGGGAGAATCTTCCAGATGACTGTGCCCTGCACACAGGGTGCTTCTCTGACAGTAAGGAGTGTCAGAGTATTGCTCCTATCCCTAACGAGACAGATGGAGTATAAACCATCCAATGAATTGTTGTACAAAAACTAAAATAAATGGAGCTATAATTCCAATTAGTATGTCTGTCTTAATAGTATATTGTCCTTGGTGTATTCAACAGTTGTGGAAGGTTAAAAAAATGGCAGCTAWACTTTGATTTTGGATATCTGTTTTCTTTCTGAATTTTTTTAATTTGACATGTGTTCCCTGCAGAATATTAGAAAATATAGAGAAATGGAAAAAAAAATAAGGTAAAAATCACCAACAATTCTATAGTTGGAGATAAATCCTCTATCATTTTTTTTTTAATTTCTCATTGTCTTATATTTGGGATCATATTATTCATATACTTTCATGTATTTATTTGTTTCACTCAGCATATCACTAACACCTTCAAATTCTAATAAAACAGCTCTGAAAATATAATTTAATGACTAATAGTCAATTTTACAACAATACCATTATTTACATAACTTTGTCAGTCTGTTTTCAATTTTATAAAAAAAAAAAAAAAACATGCTATGATAAACACATTGTACCAAAATTTTTGTGTCTAATCATGATTATAATAAAATAGCATTTGGCCACCTGAAAAGGCATATGGAGTTTTATGAATTGTTCTTTGAAGGATACACAGATAGGGCTTTGGTAAGTATATGAGAATCAGGGCAACACAACTGAGGAAAATTCATGAACAGAGATGTGAACAGGTATGAGCTTGTGCTGCTATCTATTTGAGTSTGATCCAACTGTAGTGGAACGATAGGCTTGAGAAATTGAAGGAAATAAAGTATGAAATGTAGAGTGAAAATCTGAAATTGTGTTAATAGAATAGATATTACCTAACATGAAATTGCTTAGTTTCCTTGAAAATTAGACATCTTCTTCTTCTTACCCTATAAATCAAAAGGCCTGAATGTTCTCAAACATTGTACATTTCTCCCTGTGTGTCCTGGGGGAACTGATTCCAGGACCCCCATGGATATGATAATCTGTGGATGTTGAAGTCCTTTGTGTATGGTGTATTTTCATATGATCTGTTTACATCCTTCCATGTACTTTAAATCATCTTTAGATTACTTATAATACCTAATATAATGTAAATGCTGTGGTGAACAGTTGCTACCCAGTGTTGTTTAGGGAACAAGAAAAAAGTCTTTACTTATTCAGTACCCTAAGCAAAAATAACAGAAATGGGAGCAGACCTCAATGGATTAGCAAACTGTCTTTATTAAGTAGCGGAGGAATGTCACATTTTCAGAGGAGAAAATGGCAATTGGTTAGAAAAGGAGTCTGTTTTTTATAGATTTTAACTAGATTTAATCATAGCAGAATGTTTGTGTGACTTAATCATTAGAGACTTGGGCAGTCAGGAAAATAGTTTTGCAGGTTCAAAGTCTTAATCAGAAAAACAGTTGTAAAAATTCAAAATCAATTGTTGCTGGGATGAAAGTCCATAGTCCAGAGCCCATTGTTTACCTTCTTTCTCCCTGGGGGTTATCATTCTATGACCTTCAAGTAGGGAGGCAGTTTTTTATTCAAATGGTTGGATCTGAAGTTTGTTGAAGTACATGTGCACAGGTACTTTGAGAGTCCATCTCTAAATTAAAAAAAAAAAAAAATTAAAAAGGCTGAGGATGTGGCTTAGTGGTTGAGTACCCCTGGGTTTAATCCTCAGTACAAATAAATAAATAAATAAATAAAGTTGAATAATCAAATTTTAAAATGAATTTCTCTAGTAACCTTCAAACTTTATTGCCCTCCTATCTATGCTGCTTTCTTTTTCTCTAACTTTATTTCAAGTCAGATGTGAACCCATTTATTTTATTTTGCTTTTATATAAAATAATTCACTTAGCAATTATATGTCAAGTACCAGCTCTGATACAGGCATTTAGTGGGTAATGAAGACCCAAAAACATGTAAGAGGAGGTGTTCTTCTCAACATTAAGTACCTACTTTCTAGCAGGAGAGATATCTACAAATAATTAACTTGTTTGTGTTAAATGTTATAATATTCATTAATTTTTTTATTTAGTACATTTTATGTGTAAAACTCCCATGATTATTACACAAAGTGTGATAGAGGCCACAAGAGGCTTACATTTCAGTAGAGATAATGACATTAAGCTAATGAATTCAGTGGTCTAGCATGTCATCCCCTTACATACATTCATATCACAAGACAGTAATGTTTTTGATATGGAAAAGTATACTCGGGATATACTTCCAGATATTGGAAATATCTGGATGTCCAGAATCAGAGTAAAGTCACAACTTATAGGAAGCAAATATTTAAAAGTTGTTCTTCATATAGATAAGAGGGGGCAAGGAAAGGTCCGTAGAGGAGAAAAGTAAGGGCTTAAATTTAAGTGGATAATTTATTTAGTGGTTCCGATTACCCAGTGGACTCTCTTCACTATATAAGGACCTCAGTGCTACCCTGGATATGCTGAATCAGAATTTTGGGCAAATGGGTCCAGCAATCACTAGTTTCTTTAGTGATGCTGCTGATGTGTTGTCCTGGTTAGAAGCCTCAAAATGAATTAATGTGTGTTTTTTCTCAMCGGAAGAAGTTGTCAAGTTGTCTAAAATTACAATTTTGAATCTTAATATACTTAATATGCATGTGTCTACATTTCTGTTCTATATATCTTTCTCATACTATTTTCAGTTCCTGAGAATTTTTTTGTTACTGGTATCAAGTTGTATTATAAATTTGATATATATAGATATATATACTGAAAAAGTTGAAAAGAATTTCTGTAACTTTTTTTTCTTATTAAATCRTAGAGACAAAAGCCAGGATGGATATTCGAGCGTGGTATTTGAGAACTTCAAAACTGGCTCTGGCCTTGGCAATTATCCGATCAAAACCGGCAGACAAAAGCAGCAGAGAATACACAGAGCACCTTGCAGCACTGGTGTCTAAGCAGGAATCGAAATGGAGGTCAAAAGTCGAAGCCTTGGAAGCCGAAGTTCTACAGTTACGTCAAAAACTTCTTCTGAGTAGGATTTGTTCAGGATCAATTAAGAGTGGTGAGTATATGAAATCATGTTTTGGTAATGTGTTAACCTATTTTATTTCAGCTGTTCATATTTAGAAATTTATTACCCAATCATGAAATTGCTGAGTTTCCTTGAAAATTAGTCATCTTCTTATTCTTGCCCTATAAATATATTTTTTAACTTCTAGTTATTTGTTTAAAGTTTAATGTCTCTTTTTAATGAATGGGTTTACATTAAATTTTGAAATTTGAAATACAGAGAAAGAAAGTAGCCTAGATACAGCAGTAATACTGTTTGATGCTTACTGGAAAAATTCATTTTAAAATCTAATTGTTCAACTAATTTACTTACTCCTTCCTTTTTTCTGTCTGTCTGTCCGTCCTTCCTAACTTCCTAAACCCAGGTGTGCTCAACCACTAAGCCACATTCCCAGCCCTTTAAAAAAAAAAAAAATATATATATATATATATATATATATATATACACATACATACATACATACACACACAGACACACACACACATACACACACACATTTTTTTTTTTATATATTTAGAGACAGGGTCTAGCTAACTTAAGGCCTCCTTAAGTTGCTGAGACCTGGCTTTGAACTTGTGATTCTCCTGCCTCAGCCTCCTGAGCTGCTGAGATTACAGCCCCTGGTTCAACTTTATTATCTTACTATGTATTTTATTTTGCTTTTATATGAAATCATTCAATTAGCAATCATATATCAAGTACCAACTCTGATGYAGGCATTTAGTGGATAATGAAGACCTAAAAACATGAAAGAGGCAGTGTTCTTCTCACCATTAAGTATCTACATTCTAGCAGGAGAGAGACCTACCTACAAATAATTAACCTGTTTGTGTTAAATGTTATAATGGAGAGATTGACACAATGCAGAAGAGGAAGCCATTCATTCTGACTGGTTTCTGGGGAAGAAAGGATGAAGTGAGTTGGGAACAGATTTAGAAGGCCCTTTAGTATCAACCTTAGGAATATATCATTGTATTATGTATCAGTAAGTTGACCATACAATTATAGTCTTCATTAGGACTTTGTGAGAGTGAAAGGTTTGTGTGTGTGGGTGTGTGGGGGGGTGTCTATTAATAATTATACTGGACAACAGGGGCAAACCAGGGCTCACTTGAGTAAACTGAAATGTGTCATCTAATTCACCAAGAGCCATGGGACATTTTTTTAAAATATTTTTTTTTTAGTTATACAAGGACAAAATAACTTTATTTGGTTGATTTATTTTTATGTTGTACTGAGGATCAAAAGCAGTGCCTCACATGTGAGAAATAAGTGCTCTGTCACTGAGCCACAACCCCAGCCCTGCCTCAGGATGTTTTTGAAGCAGAGGATTGACATTCACTTTTTGATAGGGAAACATGATTCTGGAATTTTTTAAAAATGTAAATCAGACAATATTTCTTATTTGCATAAAACTCTTCCTTAGCTTCTAATTTTGTTTCATGTTAGATTCAGACTTATAAGAATGGCCTATACTGCTGTAGATGGTGTCACCTGGATTTACCTCTTCCACTTCTTGGAATATACTCTCCTCATTGTAAATGGGGCTTCAGCGACTGTGGCCTTACCTCCAGCCCTTGAAGGCTCTTTCTCACCATGGACCTCTGTTATCCTCTTTGACTGTTTTGTGGGTGGTGTCTTATTTTTCTGCAGGTTTTATTCTAAATGACACTACCTCAGTGAGGTTTTTCCTGACCACTGCATATCCTCTGAACTAAGTTCATGAGGAGAGGTCTTTGATTTTCCTTGTACTTTTTACTAAATGCCTAGCCTAAAGCTTGTTACATAAGAAGGTGTTGGATAAATGGTTATAGAATGGCTATAGGTCACAGAGGATGTTTTGTCTGTAGCAATAATTGGAGGACAGGAAACCAGTTGTCAAAGGATGCTTTGTCTGTAGCAATAATTGGAGGACAGGAGACCAGTTGTCAAAGCTTTTCACCAAAGCTCATGCTATGGTTTGAATGTTTCCACCAAAACTCATGTTACAATTTAATCCTTATTGTGTAAGAGATGGGACCAGATGGGACCTTTAAGAGATGATTAGAGTGGATTAATGAATTAATGGGTTAATGGATTATCTTGAGAGTGGGTCTATTATAAAAGCCACTTTGGCTATATCTGAAGTATGTACCCCTCTTGCCACATGATGCTCTTGTGACTCTGTAGAGCATCCCAACCAGCCAGAAGGCCCTTAACAGATGTGGCCCCTTGACTTTAGACCTCTAGAAACAGTAAGTTGAATAAACCTTTATTCTTTGTAAATTACATAGTCTGTGGTATTGGGTTAGGGCAACAGAAAATGGACAAAGCTCTTGTGAAAAATGATGAGTTGAACTAGATCTATGATAGGACTAAAGGGCAGACTTTAATGAACAATTTCAGGGTAGACACTTTGGACATTTGTGAATAGATTAGGAGAGTAGTTAAGGAGCTATAGGTATAGAAAATAATTGAGGTTTCCACCTTGGTTTATTAAATGAATTATAACTTGGACTCAACTAGAAGGTTGAGTCCAAGTTTGTCTTGAGTGTGGGCTAATCTCTGGTATTTAAAGGGGTTACCTAGAAGAAAGGCAGAAGTATTATTTGAAAACTCAGAAGGGATGAACTATAGAAACAAATTTAGGATATTTTGGCGTGTTCGTAATAGTTGAAGTTATAGCTRTAGATGAGACTCAAGAATTGAGCTATAAGTCTTGGTGTAAGTCTTCTGTAAGTCTTGGTGGGGGAAGAAGACTTAAAGAATCCAACTTTCCAGGGATAAACAGAAGAAGAAGGCAGCATAACAGTAAGAGTATGCAAGTATAGTTTACATACATACATGCACTGGGAAAATGGGGACTCGCTACCTTTCCTTTGGGGAATTAATCAGGAAAACTGAGGTCCTACTACTCAGATATTACTAAAATCTCGTAATTGTCTAAGCCAAAATAGTGTCATAATTTATAGGCATATTTTAGTTTTCCAAAGAGTCCTTCTTATTAATAGTCTTTTTGAGTCTTCCCAATGAATGAATGGCAAACATCATCAATTGTTCCTCATTTTTTCTAACCTGTTCTAGAGTTAATATGATGACACAAGTACAAAAATTTCCAGTAACCCTAAATTATGATTATCATAAACATTCATGACATCAAGTGGTTGCTTTCCATCAAAGGTCTATTTATAACACTGAGATGGTGCTTTTTACTCGTTTGCAAGATGAGTGTGTCTCACAAAACAATAGGAGCCTGGGTGATAACTTGTTTTTACGCTGAGCACTTTTCACTTAAAATGCCTGTGAGAGAAATTTTCAAAAATCATGTAATTAAAATACCTTTTACTCGCAGCAGGAGTTGCAGGTAAAGCATTTCAGTGCAGATGTTTGGAAGTAATCTGTCTCTCCATCTGTTAGCTTAGACTTCAATAGAAAGGACTAAGCACATAGATTCAGATAAATGAAATAACTGGTAAAGGGAAGACAGAATTGTAGAAGAGGGTTATTACATTGATAGGAAAATTAACGAAAAAACATAGTTATTTAAAGATGYATAATTCAAAAGGCTGATATGTCTTGCTCTAAGAAACCTTCATTCCTGAAAATGAAAGCTATTTTATGGTCGTAGTTATTAAAATATCTTTTTGGTATTTTCAGGGTTACTTTATATGTGCAACTGTTCTTGAGTGTTTAAGAAGACAGAAGGCTCTCAATAATTGTTGAATTGAATGCTTCTTGACAGATTGAGAGGCTGGGGAACTTAATTTACAGCATCAAGTATCCACTAAAGCAACTGAGCAATTCAGAATTAAATAAAGCAGAGCAGAAATGGCAAAATAAACAAATAAGGAATGATGATACGGTTTATATGGCATTTCTGGAAGTCAGCTACTTCTTTTTTCTAATTTATTTTTCTACAGCTTTTCAATGAGAAACATACTTCTTTATTATATTTATTAAGGGACTAGACTGTACAGAGAAGGGATAAATAAAACTTGATTCTGGAATTATGTCACGTTTTCATTTTACTTAAATGTTTACTAGCACTTTAAAGAAAGGACAAAGGAAGGAGGGAAGGAAATAGGACAAAGGAGGTAGGGAGAGGAGAAGGAAAGGAAGGGAGGAAGGAAGGGAGGGAGTGAGAGGGAGGGAGGGAGGGAGGAATGAAGGAAGGAAGGAAAAGAATCCCAGGTATTCAGTGACAGATTTCTCAAAACAATTTTGGTGATGGGAGGTAGATATGATTATCTACTGAATGAGGCAACTCCCTTTGTTTCTAAAGCACTCAAAATTTTCTTGTACATAACTGTGCTCATGCCCATTAGGATAATACTTAAAAGGCTTAGACTTATTTTGCCACTTTTGATATAAGTTTGGCCTAATTCTAGCCAATGAAGGTTAAAAWGTAACCTTCTGAGCTTTTGATCAAGATTTGCTCATTTGGGTGAAGAAATAGAGGCCCAGGAAAGAGAGCAGTTTTGAAAATTTTGAACCTCAGCTTCTTGATTCCTTCTTGATTCCCGTATGCAGCACTGCCAAATGAGGAAATGATGCCTGGAACTCTGGTAGCCATTTTGCAACTTTAATATGGCCATCTCAAAAAATTAATGCTGACATGACAAGTCTGATGCACCAGGAGAATGAGAAGGGTTAGTCCTTGTTATTGACATTGTTGAGTAGCTGGAGAAGCTCTAGGATTACCTCCTTAAAAAAGACTTTTTAAAAAGGTTGGGCAGTGGTTTAAGGCATTGTTTTTATTTATTTGTTTATATATGACAGTGGAATGCATTACAATTCTTATTACACATATAGAGCACAATTTTTCATATCTCTGGTTGTATATAAAGAATATTCACACCAATTCGTGTCTTCATACATGTACTTTGGATAATAATGACCGTCACATTCCACCATCATTTCTAACCCCATGCTCCCTCCCTGCCCCTCCAACCCCTCTGCCCTATCTAGAGTTCATCTATTCCTCCCATGCTCCCTCTCCGTATCCCACTATGAATC